TAGCCATCCGATGCTATTAGATCTACTCGCCGCTTCTTCGAACATAAGGTTCGCCATGTTCGTAAGGCCTTCTGAATAATATCCACGCGCCATCTTGTTACACCATAGTCCCAACTATTTGCTGCCAGCCGTTCAGCAATAGACAACCGACCTACACAACTGTTCTTGTCGGTATCGTCGACTTTATAGATTGAGCACCTAAGAGCTTTCACCGAATCAGCGACCATCACTGCCTCATGAGCATCAAGGTCTCTCATGGTTATATACGACAAATCGTCCACGATGTCATTCACGCCGTCTTTTACCACTTCAGCAATTGTGCTGTGGCCGGGATCATCTTTCCCACCCAAGAGACTCGCGGCCAGAGTAGTCGTGGTACCATCTGATCTCAGACAAGGTCTCTCAAAAACTCGCGATAAGGAATCAGCCTCACAATTCAAGCTTCCTTGCACATGACGAACTTCAACAGTAGACCCCAGTATCGCGGTACGAATGACTTGACATTCCTCAGCACAGGAACTGAGTAAACGGCTGATGGCACGTCGTTCAAGCGCTTTCGATCGAGAAACCGCACCAGCTGATGACCTTTCTAGCCAGTTGACCGACGGCTTATTATCACACAGAAGGATGACCTTGAAGATGATGCCTTTCCGATTACAGAGCTGCTTACATGATGTTACTAGATCAGCCGCCGCTTGTAAGGCTCGAAGTACCCCGTACAACTCTCGACGGTTGGAGTGCCAAGACTGCTGCGATTTGCACCATCTCCAGCAGTCCTTCCTCAAAACAACTGTGCCAAGATCACTCGGAGAACACTTCGATAACCTCATAATATAACCACCACCGGTTAAGCTCGCATCCGACTCTACGTATAGGTCCAGACGGTCTCCTGTAGTCACACCATCGACAACAGAACAATGTTGGCAAAGATCTCCATCGTTGCATAGTTCTCGAGACCAAACGAGTAGTTCACGAAGTGAGTCAAACTCTGGGGCGTCCAGAGATACCTCGTCATCCCAGGTTGCGCCTACTGAACCCGTGGTAGAGCGTATAGCATCCGCTACCGCTCTATCAACAGGGTGCTGCAGCAGCGGATCAAACCCCAGGTTACCAGTGAGACGAAACGTCTTTCGACGCGAAAAACGACGAGTTTTACTCATCTCTTCGATGACTTGGAGAGCTGCCTGAAGGCGACGAGCTCTACAGCATTCCAGTTTAATACCATACTCCGCATCATGTACAAAATGAATACCTAGGTAGTCACCTTCGGACTTGATCACGGCCTCGAGGTTGCGAGAGTTCAACTCTCGTCTTAATTCATCCAGTAAATCGGGAGAGCAAGTCGCCGAAAATTTTTTCATTGGAGTATATTGTCCAAGTTTCTCAAGGGCTAATAGCCATAGAGCTAAATCATGGACGACGCTGCTGACCAGACGACCACCAAAATAATAGTCATCGACAAAAAGTCGAAACAACTCACATAACCAGGCCGGCTTCAGTCCTTCAGCTGAGGCTTCGAGGGGCGCTGCTAGGCCGCTTGGCCCAATAGCGAGTCCAAAGGTTAACCGCGTCGACACAAACTCCAACAAACCAACATACAACAGGACCCACGTTTGATGGAGGCGAACATGATAAAAGGCCGCCGTAAAATCCCCCACGAGGAGGACTTTAGGGGCAAATATCAAGATCTGAGCGTACGTCTCCCATGACGACGGAACTTTACCGGATACTCGGGGAAGAGACGCATTAGCCAGTCTAAAATCACAAACCAGTCTAGGTTTGCGCTTAGAACCTTCTTCGCCACCCAATAGGAATACATTAGCCGTGAGGTCGTTGCCCTTGGTGTTCATACCCTCAGTGGGAAGCCACCACCTCTTTTGTAGATACTCTTGAACCAAACCAGAAAAGATGGCCTTTCGGCTATCAGTCAACCTCCTATAAAGCTTGTCAGAATATCGCGAGTTCTGGCCACTCCGACCATTAGCCTTAGACGCTTCAGGGAACTTCAGCTCACACACCCCAGCCTGTCCAGCGACGTCAATAACCTCAACCGGAAGGAGACGCCGGATCCTGAAGTCAAATCCCGGAGCATACGGAACCGGTTTCCATCCCTGGTTCTCGAGCTTTAGGAGAAGTGATTGGACCACCTTGTCTTCCTCAGGGGTAGTCTGAAGTCGTACAATATCATAAGAGGGGGCCGAAGTCGATCCAGGAAGCGGGAGAACCTGTACCCCCTTAGGTAAACCATTCTCCGGAGTACCCTCATAGATAGATCTCAAGTACGAGTCTGCAAAAGACGAGCTATCAGAGTCAACAACCTTGAGCAGAGAGGGTGGTACTGTCAACTTTATCTTCCAACGATGCAGCAAGTCTCTACCAGCGATGATGCGATATACCTTACATGAACCTGGGGGACTTGCTGAGAGCGGCAGTCGGAACAGTTCCACCGATAGGACATCATACCCCAAGGAAATTTTTCCTTTGATAGCTTCAGTTATACGTATCAACGACTGGTCGGCCAGCTCTACTGACTTGGGAGTCTCGAGAACATGGGGTTGTCCGGGACAGCTACTGCTCAACCAATACGATTTGCCTGCACCCGTATCAACCAGTGCGTCCACCGCTACCCACTTACGAGTTCCACTCGCACGGAATCGGGTATGTAGAACAATCTCAGGAGGTGTAGCATCACCTTCATAACCAGTAGCACAGACGGTATCAAAAACTCGGCGGAGATCAGAATGAGCTTGATATGATTGGCATCGATCGCCACTGTAGCTCACCACCAGTGGCGTGTCATGTGCCTTTATCAGTTTTTTGACGAAGGCGATACCTGGGGAGCTCCTACCTCCCCGGCCTTCTTCGAGGATATAGTCGTTCCACCATCGACTTGCTGCCGTCTAGGCCGGTAAGAACGTACCCGAAGCTCTTCGCCAAAACCCGAAGAATCCAATACATGATTAGAATCTCGATAACCAATGACACAGTAAGGTTTTTGATGTCGGCTTCTACCACAGTATATGCTGTTAGCTCCTGTCAGATCACGTACTCGAGCGGGATTTCCTGATGAAGAGCCAGACCCAAAATACATTGTCTTGGAGTTCTTCTCGACCTCACTCAGTGACATAGCTTCTTGGATATTAAAAACTCGTTGACGATCACCAGGCCCAAGTGGTGCACGAGATAGAGACTTCCCCATGGTACTTGATGAGCTTGACACATCGAGGGACTTATAGTCTTCCGCCGATCGACAAACAGAACGGATCACATCACAGACACTCACAGAGTTGTCACTGAGTAAAGGTAACAAGGACTCCCAATCAGCATAGCCCTCGACGAGGGCGTGATGTGAGTGGAAATTCAGCACGATGTTCTGTGTTTGGAAATTTCAAGGTGGAAATTTCCGGAATTTCCAGGAAATTTCCGCCAAGGTGCTTCCAGGCTTCTGCGCTAGCGCGCAGTGGGGATCGAGGAAGTACAAGAGGAGCAAGATCACGAGTTGGAGAGTCGTTTCGTGGGTCCATGCGTTACATTGTCGATTGCGTGTCGCGTTCAGCTCGGGAGCCAATGATGACTCGAAAGGGATGTAGGTGCGTCAATCACGATCACGACTGACGATCCGTCAAAGCAGCTTTGTGAGAGACAGGTTTTCGCTCTTGAAAGACTTTGTTTTTGGGTGGTCGAATTCTGTTCAGTTTCTCGAAGAAATCTGGTTTATCCATGCCTTTGAAGGCTTTCCTGTTATATTGCCTATCTCTTAATGGCACTTTCGTCGCGTAGGAGAAGCTCTGTCTTCGACCCCCGACCACATTACCTGGTGAAAACTCGGGCTGAGCTTGGCCTCCCACCGCTGTAGTACAGGTGCTGTAGTACAGAAGCAAGTATTACTTGCCAAGTA